GTTGCAACAAACGCTTCATCAGAAATTGACTGCATGGAACCACATACCCAGGCTTTTGAGCTATTTTGATTTTTTTTAAAAAGTGAGTTCTCAAAAAGGCTGGAGAATGGAAATTACAGAAAACAAGTTTTATATACCCCAAACACAAAAACTTCAGCCATTTGCTTGCAAAAGACATCTTTTAGTGCTGAAAAGACTATGGGGAAATTAACAGATATTGACATTCAGGACGATTGGAATCTTCAGATTTTTAACAATGGGATGATGAACAATCCAATTTTTCTCCTTCCTGTGAACTTGGTTTGCAAAAGGAAAAGAAAAGCCAAGTTTAATTAAATGACCTGTTCTGCTGGGGAATAAAGAGTCAGAGGCACAATTTGGTCTGTGTGGAAGGTACAACACTCCACAGGTACTCCCTTCATTCTCAATTATCTCCAGTGAAAATGGTCTTCCTTACTAGAACTCCCTCTATCAAGAGAGAGGCTGAACTTCATGTTGCAAATGTGTATTTTTAAGGCACGAAGCACCAGTAGCTATTGTATTAATGCTGGGAGACTATCACAAAACACCTAATTTGATATATTGGATATATTGTCCTAGTTTTGCTATATAGAAATTAAAGTGTCGGAAAATAAAGAAACTTGTTTAAGATGGAGCAGTTAAACAGCAGGGACCAGGAGAATTCCTTCAATGTTTCTGCTTTAGTTTCGAAATTTATTCTACCTTATAAAGGCAAACAAAAAAAAAGCTCAGCTGACTATTATTATTAATTGTACAGAGCCCTGGACTTAAAACTTCTGAGGAAACACCATCCTAAAGGCAAAAAAAAATCCTGAAAAGAGTTCATTACATCTTTCTCTATCCTCTTCAGAGTCTACACAACTCCCTGTTCAGATCACATTATGCTTCCAGAGGGCCTTCTAAGTGGAAGAGCAGAGAAGCAGGGCTATTACTTATGACACTGAGCACTGTCAGGACGTCACGGGGTAAAGTCTAACCAATTACATCAAGTTCAACCTTGAGTAGGTAAACTGAACTCTAAATCATTACAAGGTTTTGATATCTCCTGGGAAAACAAAGCACAGCAAATTATGCACAAAACTTTCTTAACACCAAGGACTATATGTCCTACTGTAAAGGTTCAGGTATGCACAGGAAAGAAGCAAAGCATAGATGAATTTTTAACTACTCGATGTCTCACATATTGCAACAGTAGATCAAGAGTTGAAAGCCACCCTTGTAACAGCAGCTAAATCCCTTCAGGTATGGAGAAAACCAAATACCTGTAGTGACAAAAGAGGCCACCAGCAGCTTACACTGAACACAGCAGTTTGAAACCAATACTGAGCACAATTGCTCCCTGTGGGGATCACACCCAATCACAAAAATCCAGCACAGAGAAGAGGGAGCCTGAGGCAGAACTGCCACACAAGAGGCAGGCCACCAGCCGAGACACACACACCTCAAACAGCTGGAAAAAGTATCCTCCAACCAGCACCACAAACTCAGAGGAACAACCAGACCAGCATGTCCAGCTGAGTGCCACTACTTGGGAGAAATCATTTCAGATTTTATGTCACTCAGCAGAGTGCTTCTGCCCTTGTGTCTACCTCATCCCTCAATTTCCTTTGCAACAGAGAAAAGAGACTCCAACAGCTTAACTGCTTTAACAGATCCTAGTCTCAGGAAGAGGGTGACTTCAAGGCTGCTCAAGGTTTCTACTCTGAGCTACTCACTTTGTAACTTTTCTTATACACTGTACAGTAACCAAGATGTTGTTCATAGCTGAGAACAAAGAGAGCTTTCGTTATTAATTGTTTTTTCGGGTGGGGAAATACTTCTCTAAGGATCTGTATGCCTCCAAAAAGCTTGGTTCTACATCTCTTCACTAAATAAGAGTGAGAAATGTTTCTTAGTAACTAATCAAGTTTTTACAATGAATACAAGGGACATACTGCTCAAGTTAAACCAGTGAATAATCCCAAACTAACTTTCATGACTCATAAGGTTAAAGTTTTACACTAAAAGCAGTCTCTTCCTAGTATTTTAACAGATTTCTCTCCCTCTTAAAACTACAGGATCTAGAACCAAGAGCTGCTTATGGACATAGAATGCAAAGTTGCCCTTCTGGCACACTGTGTTACAAACTACACCCATCAAGTCTAGAGGCAAAAAATATTAACAGAATAGTAATTCTACTTCTAATCCCATTAGTGCAACATGACAGCTATAATTTAGGTACTTCCATTTTTACATTTACTTTGTGGATTTAAAGAATTCAATACAGATGTTTAGCGTATTTATCCATTAAGATAAAGAAAGACAAAGTCATTGAAATTGCAGTATATTTGTAACCACATATTTTTGTTCTTCAGGAAAAGTTTCAGTTCTATTTTTACAGACAATTTTAACAGAACTGCAAACATTTAGTACTTGCGATAAGAAGTCTCTCTGTTCTTCCAGTAGTGGCTACAGAGTCCTCATAAAGAAAAATGAGATAAGAGTGTGATTTAGAAAACTCACATTAACTTGTTGTTATCAGTACTAGTTTTGAATTAAAAATAGCCAGTTTGAAGACTGACCAAATAGAGAACCTCTGTCAGGAGGGTTAGCTGATAAATAGCCCAAAGCCAAATCAGGACTGTAACATTACTTTCCTCACATATTAATGAAATCTCAAACAGGTTCTCACTCCTTGATTCAAGAATATTTTACCATTAATACTCTTTCCAAGAAAATACCAAACTTATTTCCCCTGTTCCTCAGATTACTCACTTGCAACAGAAAGCATAAAGAGATGTACCTATACTTGAAGACACAAGGAAAACACTAATATCCAGCTCCCATTTGCTGGATGCTAATGGATATTAGCTGAAACATAATCATTCCTTTACTTTTATACTCTCACAGCATGAACACAGAAGAAAATGAGGACTTGCATTGCACTTTCACAATTTTTTCAATGAATAACACTTTACTGACACTCAGTCTTTTTAGTCCATACCTCATTTCAATTAAAAACACTTTTGCAGCCTTAAAGAGTAAGTGGCTCCCACTTAAATGAACCATTGCAAGTAATTTATTATTCAGAAAAACCTTAGTGGGCAAAGCATCCTGAGGGTTGGCTCTATCTTTGAGCACTTCTTGCAAGCCTCACTCTTACCCACTCTTCTCAAACCAGCAGAAAAAGGAAGAGGCTGCTTTTACATTGGGAATATGTCTGAGTCTATTCCTTCTGCCTGCATTCCTCCATCACAAAGAGGATGTAATCACAGGAGAGGCAAATTCTGCAGTGTTGTCTGGTTACAGGGCTACCCATTCAGCTGAGAGCTTTTAACCTGTTCTTCCATGAATCAAGAGCTGTATCAAAGTACTAAAAAGCATATTCATCTTCATCAAGTTAGAGGAACACCAACATTTCAGTCTCTGCATGAAACTTCTTCCTTTCTTTTAGAAAACACATTTCCTGTCATTTTCTCACAGTAATGCTGTCTTCCCAAAGAATCTTGCAATACCTCTCTCGATTATTTAGAAAGCAATTCACACTCCAAGAGTTCACAGGTGTGTGTAGCCATGGATGAGTGCCCAGAAACAGGTTTTGTTGAGTCATCATTATCCAAACTGCAACATCATGTTGCCCAAAATTACAGGTGAGTAAGCTCTAAACAGGTACATTTTGATCTCCTCTTTTCCTCCAATCCAAGTTCTTACTTCTTTGTCTCTTTTTGCTTTAGCATCTATTTTATCAATGTAAGAGTAATTAACACCACCCACACACAGTTTGCTCTTCATTTAAGTCAACTCCACAACCTCTTCAAAAAGAAAATTTATGAAATCAGGTGTAGTTTCAAATATGGCATTAAGAACATTGCATTATCAGCCCTATTCCTCATGATCTGAGTTAAGAAATCTGGAGAGCTCATAAGAGAAATCTAGCTTTTCAGTTCTACTTATTCAGCTTTTAAAAGTCAACACCCTTATGGCAATTAACCTTATAGAGAGGGTAGTGATACACCAGAAAAAAACAATAAAGGTCCACTTGGAGACTAATATAAACACCAAAGGAAACTGTTGGATTTACGTACAGTTTAAAGAGGATTAAGTCAATTTCTCTAGCAAGATGGCCTAAGCTTTCCCCATAATGTTTAGAATTCAGTCAATTTCAGGACAACAAAGAATTTGATTCATTCTCCTGTGCTGACAAGTAAAGGTTCTGGCAACAGCAATGTGGATTAAAGAATCTACAGGACACCTTCTTTTAAAAATAAAAGTTTAAACACATATGTTGTTACATGGCTTGGATAGTAGCATATGGCTGTGGTACCATATGGTTATAAACATATGGGTAGTTCACTTTTTAGTGCACAAAAAGAAGCAGGGTTACTAGTGCTTTACTTCACAAATTCATTCCGATTCTCTCAGTCACTTGGAAGCTTTTAGCAAGATCTAATTCCTGCACCTTTTACTGTCCCCACTTGAAACCTTCATTTGGCAACACAGAAGTAGTAGCAGGTCACTAGAGCATTACGAAGTTTATCTTAAGAACAAGCCAAACAAAAATAAGCCCATCACCCAAAAAAAAGCCCAATCAAAAACCCTACAACAAAAACCACCAAACAAACATCACCTCACCAAGCAGCACAGAATGTTTTAACCCCAGAGGATGGAGCAGAACAACAAAACAGAGCTCAGCCCCCATCCCTCTTTAGATTGGCAGTCAGCTGCTATAAATTGTCAGCACACTAGTAACCCTCCACAAAATTTATCTATTAACTTGAGATAACGGCAACTGAGCAGCCGTGCCTCACATCACTGACACAACTTGAATTGACACAAAGAGCAACCAGAACAGCCAAGCTACCCACAGCAAAGACAGCTTGCTGGTTTTCTCTCCTCCTGCATACCTGGTTCCCACCAGACTTCTGAATGTTTGCAGCAGCTCAATCAAGACATCACTTGTGAGAGGTGCACTAAATCCACTGCAGAATACGAAAGGATACAGCCTTAGTGCTCCAGTCTGAGTCCCAATGGCCAGTATTTTCTGAACCGGATCAAATGCCAAGGCTGAAGGTTGATAGGGGAAACCATGGCGTACAGTCTAACAAGTCACAGCAGCGCAGTAACAACGGGTCAAGCAGGATACCAAAAATAAACAGAATCAACACTATATGTTAGAGAACAGGATTCAATGTTAAACACAATTTAAAAAGGAACTACAAAGCAATTTAATCACAGACTGAGAAAATCACCTGCCTTACATGAACCAGTTACAAAAGATTTTTTTAGACATAATTACTCATTCATCTTTGAGCATCAAGTGACAATCAGACTTTCTGAAACTTAATTTGAATCTTACATTTCTTCTGTATAAAGACTGTATCAACTCAGCATTTCATTTTTTCATCTACCTCATTCCCTGAGTAATCTTATTTTCAGCTCTAACAAAGACTCTACACTATGAAAATCTGAGATGTTCCTAGCAAGTTTGGCAACAAAGCCAGACTTGTCATCAGAACTATTACAAACTACTATACACGCTTTTCTGAGAATCACTTCAATTTCAATCCAACAGACCCAACATGACAGTGCAACCTCTCTCAGCTCAGTAAAGAAAAAAACCAGCAACTTGAGCTTGACAGAGCCTACCAATCTCTCACCCCCTACTTCCCTCAAAGAGAACAGGCAGCCCCAGAATTGACAAAACCAAAAAATACCTCATTGAACAAAAGCAAACCCCCTCAGTCATGGGACTCTCTCTTAATATGGAACTATTGGCACATTCAGCTTCTTTGGTTAGCCAAGACTAATTTGGTAATTGACCAAGCAATGACTCCATTAAACTTCTCGGGCTGCAATTAATCAGAACTGAGAACATAATACAAGTTCTTCTACTCTAAATGCACGCATCCTAAGCCATACAAATACCAGCTTACCTATTTCTAAGCCTTTAGTTTAAAGCAGAGGTAGTTCAGGACCTCATAAACACACAGCAAACTTCTGGTATACTCCTTGTATGTCACTGAAGTTGCAGGGTGTTACCCCACAGCTCTCTGTATTTCACAACTGAATAAAGTCTAACTGCTCTAACAGCTCTGCTCTTCTCCATATCCTTCATGACCAACTCCTGAAAAGCAGCAGTAATGCCTGCAATGCCAGAAAAAACCAAGGAGAGCCCACAAACAAGCTCATCCATGTCCAGCTAGGCCAGAGGTGCACTGCAAAGATAAAAATGAGTATTGATATTCCAATCAGCTTTTATTCCTCTTGATTCAGCTGGTGGTTAATTCGCTGCATCATTTTCCGAAGTGTGCAGACACAAACTGCAGTTATCATATCACACACAAGCAAATAAATAAACGGGAACTTCGTCTCTAGATAGGATTTGCAATAGCAGCATCACCAACTTGGCAACACACACTGCAGTGAAAACCACCACAAACATCGAAAGCCTTTTTCAGGCGTAAAGAAACAGGATAAAGAATTTCCAAATAAAGCAGAGGGACAGCTTCCCCGTCCTTCAGGCCCATTAGCAGAGGCTTCTGCTCAAACGCCGCGATAATCAGATCTGCACTATAGCTAAGTGTCACTCCTTCCCCCATCCATCCAACTCTTTATACGAAGCCTTAGCGAACACTGCCAGTATTACTCGCATGAAAGAGCCTAGACGACGACAAACCCCGAAACTCTCCAAGAAAGATGTCTAAAGAAATCCGGCAAGACCTGTACAGCTACACCCACCGCTTTCTTCCCGTCTTCGCCCCCGAAATAATCAATCCAAACAAGTAAACAGGAGCGGCGGGCAGGCTCGGCGAGGTCGGTACGGAGGAG